TACTAGTAATCCCCCGATCTTCAAAGTGGAATCAGTAGTCCGTATTTATTTTACAACAAGGAAACAACTTTTTTTTTAAAATGAACAATGATCGACAAAATGAGTAGATCTACCGAGTTATAAACATGAAACTCAACTTAAGTCATGAAGAAAAAAATTATTTCTGTTCTTTTTTAGATTTTCTCGCCACCTTTTCTTCTTTTATTTTCCTCATTTCCAACAATCCTCTTTTCTCCGCAATTACATCTGTTGCCGTTAATATTCGGTGAGATGTTCTAGCTTTAGATTTTTTGGTAGGTTTCTCTGGTGCACGGAATGGTGGGAGAAAAATGCTCTCAACCGCATTGTTCCACATGGACTCAACAGCATTTGTTTCTTTTGGGTTTGGTGGGCTGAGTGATACATGTAAGACCGATGACGGTAAAGGATCATATGTTCCAGCACTACTCGGACTTGAGTTTGCCACCACTTCTATTTCCCCTTGGTTTAAAAGGGAAAGTAACAGTTCAGGATCATCTAGCGTGAAAGAAGTAGCTGCAGATTCAAGGGGAAGAATTGCCAACGATTCCTGAACGGTCTCTGCTTCTCCGCATGTAGGGAATTCGCATGTTATTTCATGACTGCCAGAGGGAGACGAAAACTCAGTTGTAAGTTGTTCAGGTGAGCTTTGCACAGTGGTCCCTGTAGTTTCGGGTAGGGCTTCTACTGTTGCCACGGAGGGCATGAAGACAGTTTCAAAAGGTGAGGGCTTGGAGACAGTTTCTGAAGGTGAGGGCTTGGAGACAGTTTCTGAAGGTGAGGGCGTTTCTGTTGCAACAGAGGGGTCATATACTTCAGAGGACAGTGCGTTTGGATCAAATGGAACAATGCCACATGCCCTGAAGCCATTCTTAATATTATCTGTACTAACACCCGCTTCCCAAGCTTTATTAAATAGTCCAGGAAAAGTGTGTTTGTTAATGACATGATAGGGAGATTGACTTAGAAATTCAGAGCAAGCGGTGTCATAGGCAGTATTGAACGGGCCAAAAACGGAACGATCAAGAGGCTGGAGAGCATGAGTTGTGTGTGGTGGTAAGCATATTATTTCAATTTTTTCTTTCATGGCTAATTCTAGCAACCCCAGACTCTCATGAGAGGAATGACCGTCTAGTATCAACAACTGGGGGCGCTCTGAACCACAGTTTTTCAAAAACACCTCTCTAAACCATTTTTCCCCCAACTCCTCGTTAATCCAGCCATTCTCTTGATAGGCAAAAATGGTACCTGCTGGAGCCTCTGTAACATTTAACCCATGTAGGGACGCTGAAGTTTTTCCCTTTACTATAATCATGGGCACCATCTTTGCCCCCGCACCACTGACACAAGCCATGATGGTAATATTGGTGCGGTTTTCCGACACCCTGCTTACAACATTTCTTGCCCCCTTTTCTGCAATGACTTTAACAGGGTTATGTTGGAATTGTTTGCCTGTCTCGTCGCAATTCCAGATGAGGTGAGGTTTGTTTTCAAGATTCAGTTCAGCAATTTTTTTACCCAGATCTGCCATATATTTCCTTACAACTGTTTGGTTCATCATTCTGGCCCGGGAATTTCCCAATTTCTCTGGCTTTCTGATTGTTATCTCCGGGTGCCTCTTTTTAAATCCCTTCCACCACCCTCTCCCAGGGGCTCCGTTTTTAAAAGCAGAAACCCTCATGCGTTTACACAATAGTGCTGTTCTCTGGAACAGCTGCTTGCGTGAAATTCCCATCCCCCGTTTTGATGCCTCTACCACATTTTCTACAATTTTCCCTTCAATTTTTTCAGGGAGAGCTGGTCGTCTACCTATGTTTGATTCAATTTCACTTCTACCTATTATTTTGTCATTAATTGTCGATTTAGGGACATTGAATGTTTTTGCAGCTTTTCGTAAAGACATATGTTTACTCTGCACTGCCTCCACAGCTTTGACAAGATCAGCATGGTCATATTGGAGCAATTTCCTACCTCTTCTTGTGCCGGGACTTTTTGCTTTTGTTTTTGTCATTGTATGTCTGTAAGTCAGAATATTTTTTTTAAAAATGAGTTATCAGAATGAAATGCTCCGCTTTTATCAAATTCTGCCAATACGCTTCCGTATATAAAGAATAATATTTCAATCAGACGGTGCATGCATATTTTATGGATATCAAATTATCAATTTATTTACGCATTTTTGAAGGAAGAAGGGGGGGGGGGGTCACCCCCCCCCCCCACCGCAAGGATTTTCTGAGTTACTAAATTTACATATGTTTATAATATAATTCATGAGTTTTTCTTTAAAATTTTTAATAGTATAGTCTCCAATCCTGCTTTCCTGCCGAAAATTACTACCTGAAAAATGTCGGAGATAAAAACTTTAAAATGTCGGAAATGAAAACTATAAAATGTCGGAAATGAAAAGTTGAAAATTTCAAGAGTTTGATATCTTGTATTTTGTATATACATGTAACTAGAGAAAATGTGCAGTAAATATATTTAAAATCAAGTACATGTACATTGGATACATTTTTATATTACTACGTACATGGTTACTATTCAGAAATTCGTGGTGATTGCGTACATTAAATATTGTACAAGCAGTCTCTAAAAGACAAATAGAGACAATGACATGAAAAATTAATTTTAATTGCAACGAATATTCAACGATCGTTCGAATAAAGCTTCCGACTATTCGACTAAGCTGCCCGAATAAAATTGACATCCCTAGTTTATATAATAGAGTGTAGAGTAACCAGTAATAATTATTGTACTTTGAAATGATTTTATTCAATTTAAATGAATGGAATGGTTTTATTTGTTTTAATTAAGTTATTCAAAAAATTATAAGTTCAACAGCATGGCCTTCCAATAATTGCCTTATTCGTGACACGTTCTCGTTTTCTGTCTTGAATCCAAGATTACACCTTTGCTTCGGACCAGTATAAACGTTAAACTTGGAAGGGTCTTCCTTTGCTTTTAAATACACCATATTCTGTATCAACTTTTCTTGAAATAGGGGAGAGATAAAAGCAGCATATTTCTTCTGTAAATAAGCGCATCTATCGGACAGTTCTTTGTCTCTGAAAATGGCTACAGCCTTTTTATCGAAGTGATTTTCCGGCTCATTTTTAACGTACAAAACTTCATCAATGGGTAAACTTCTGGAACCCCAGTGGTGCATACCAACAGCATAAATACCCTTGATGATAACGTTCTTCATCGTTTTCCTGAAATAAATTTTTAATTACAATGTCTATAGATATATATACACTGTAGATATACAGCGAATCAGCAGAATTTGATACGCGGAAAGCGAAAATATTCTTAAATTACAGGTTAATTATATTTAAATACATTAATATTGATTTTTCTAGTACTTAAGAAAATTTAGATTACTTTTTGTGCTTTGTCCGACTTTAAATTCTCCCCTGTCCGACTTTAAATGACCAAGTATGTAAAGTCGGACAGTTCATTTTTAATAGTTTTTATATATAAATATCCACCAAATTAATTTTTTCATCGGAACTATTGATATTTATCATGTAAAAGTATGTTACAATTACAAAATATATCAGATTTCACAGAATACGTACAGCAAACTGAAGGTTTTGCCAGGGATCCCCGAGTGTCGAAATATGACTTTGAAATTTCCGCCGAAGGTAGTTTTATCCGGATCCCCGAGATGTGTGTGTTTCTTCCGGATTTTAGAGGTTATTTCAAACGTTTTCATGACTTACACTTGCATGCAACAACCAATGACACCTTGTCAACAGAGGTACGTCCGAAAATAAAAAGCGATACTAAAAATAGTTATGATTTTATTTTGAAAAAGAAAATTGTCCGACATTCGATGCTGTCCGACTTTAGCTGTTTCGCCCCTAACAAAATACGCGTATACAAAAACCCTATGCTCACTCATAAAAAAATGTTGCTTTAACTTTTATGATCAGCCAAAAGAAACGTGTTTTATAAAAAAAAAAAAAGAAAAAAAAAGAAAAAATTATAGTTTAGATTGCGGGGCAAAATCACGGGCACTGGAAGTTAATGTAAATATTGAGTATGTGCATGTTTAAAAAAGGAAGGGTAGGACACTCTTTTTGAGGCAAATTAGGGTTTGGGGTATTTGGATAGTTTTTTAAACGGCCTGACGCGATAAATGATCTTTATATACTTTACTTACAAGATATATCTTGCTTCGTTCCGCTCCAATGCATTTTACTTGAAGAAATAGACGTTTTTACACCTCCAAGTGCCAAAGAATTTTGCTAGACTGCTTTACTTCCGGTTACAATCATAGGCGAATTTAAGCTTAATTTTGATTGGACTTCATATATGTGAAAAATAATTCTTCAAATACAAAAATGCAATTAGGAAAATTTGTCAATTGAGCCATCTCCTACTGGTTTTAGAAGTCGATAAATTATCTTTGGACGATGTTTTACTTTTGATTTTAATTTTCTACAGTTTGACTGACCAATCAGAACTTAGCTTTAAATTCACTTGTGATTGTAACCGGAAGTAGAGCAGTCTAGCAAAATTCTTAGGCACTTGGAGGTGTAAAAACGTCTATTTCTTCAAGTAAAATGCATTGGAGCGGAACGAAGCAAGATATGTATTGTAAGTAAAGTATATATAGATTATTTATCGCGTCAGGCCGTTTAAAAAACTATCCAAATACTCCAAACCCGAATTTGCCTCAAAAAGAGTGTCCTACCCTTCCTTTTTTTATACATGCACATACTCAATAATTACATTAACTTCCAGTGCTCATGGGCAAAATTGGACAAAAAAGACACTTCAACTAGTCAATTTTATATAGGATTAATACACATTTATGTCATTAAGAGTTATCTCTCTTATCAGAGTATCAATGAACCTTAAAGTACCACAATACGTTAAATGACCGGCTATTTGATATTTTTTATGGACTTAAACACAGTTAATTTAAAGTTTTATCAGATCTCTCTTTCTCTCATATTACAAATTTATTTTCTTACCAAGTTGACAGTCCTGCACCCCTCCATTGACCACCTCCCTAACAAAATATTTCATTTCTTCAGGGGTAAGTTGACCCCCATCCCTCTTTTTAGCAATCAAAGCTGGGATTTGGAACATCGTTAGTCGCCACGTCTCGAGTTAAAAAATTAATCACGTCCTCTACACGTCTATTTTTATATGAATACTTGTTGAGGTACGGGAAGGGGTTTTATTTAATTAAATCAGTTTCAGTTTCGCTTTCCTCACGTGATTGTCATCTCCCTCGGGAGATGACACATTAAGTTCGTTTTCCGGAAGTGAAGTCCTAGTGTAAGCTGCCATCGATAAGCTGGTGGTCTGGCAAATGACCTGACGATGACAAGATTTCTAAATATAGAGATGTAAACAAAATTGAGCGTTCTGCCTTATTATTACAAAATGGTCCATCTTAAAGTAAAACTACACAGGGTTCATTCGGATAATAGAGGTTGGATTGCTGGGGTGGTGGTCTTCAAAATACACATAAACATTGTATCTAGGTTATTGCGTAAAAAGTTTTCCTATTTCCCTTGGACCATCAAAGAGTGGAATGATAGTCTCGGCGAATACACCTGACACCTTTAGGTCTCAGGTGATCATCTTCTAACCATAAGTAAGAAATATTATTAATATTAACCTTTTAAAGTTTTAATTTTTGGTCATATCATGCGCACCAAATTTGCCATAATAATCAGCTTGTTGATTGTGGGCAATACTTGGCAGAAGCAGAAACGATGGTCAGCGCGCGGGGATCAAAATACACAAAACATGGCATATTGAATGTATCAGCCAAGGCGTGGATCCAAGATTTACTGACGAAAGAAAACAGTGAAAACATTCACGTTAAATGCGTATATATAATGGCAAAAACTTAACTTTTATATGTACTTACTGCCGTATATGAAAAATAAAACAGAACTTATTCAAAAAAATAAATTTCGAAGAAAAGAAATTTTACCTAAAAGCACAATTTAAGCAGAAACATAAATTAATGTCTCTGATTTAAGTAGCTCAGTGCTGCAGGCATTGGAATAAAAATAGTAAAGAATCATTATGAGTATTTTCTCGGATGTCTTCACTATTCTTTTTTTCTTTAAAATTACTCCTGCGGAAAAGTTTTAGGAAAAACACAATTTTCTTGACCTGGCTCAGGTTTTTAAGGATTAATAAATAAAGCAACTTATCAATTTAATTCTTTATGCAATTCTAATTTGCATTTTTTTGTTAATGGAAAAAAGTAAAAAAAAAAAAAAAAAAAAAAAAAAAAAAAAAAAAAATATCTCCTCGTATTCTTGAAATAAAGCCAAAATTATAAAATGTGTGTCTCGCGAAACAGCGTATAAAATCGATGTTGGTAGATTGAGGTTCTTTTCAGTGTGCCAATACTTAATTTTAAATGGTAACTTTTCAATTTTATAACCTTTCTATGCATGCTATTTTCCCACAAGCGTATACGTGTACATATATTATATATACATAATATAGCGTTAACACATGAATCTGCATATTGGCAGCAGAAGGATATGATGCAGGAGTGTCTCAATGTTTTCCTTGATATTCCCAGTGGCTCGATAGCCAAGTCACTTCAGAGGATACGTTTAAAATAAGGAAAATCTTTGGAAATTATAATTGAGGTTCGGATTAATTTAAGTTAGCGCTTTAAAACTGCTTTGCTGTTGTAGTAGGCGACTACAAACTAAAGTCAAAAGAAACGCTAAGGTTTTATCCATCTTCATACGGAACAATTGTTTTATATCTAATTTTTACGAATATTTCTCAGTGGTTAGATTTTTTTTTACAGACATTGTACAAAAAATATTCAAAATGAATAAAGCATATTTACAACAAGTAAAATAATATAGGCATGTAGCAACAGGAGGGTCGTCCCCCTTCCATGTTTTCCCCAAACATTAAAAATATTCATTCAAAGGCGCGTCCTTGTCCCATCTTCCATCTTTTGTTGCAGTATGGTACGTCAAATCATCCCATGGGAATGTACTATAATATAAAATATGTTTGTTGGAAAAGTTTTAATCCTCCCTTTCAAGAAATGAAAATGTGGAGTTTGGACAGTCCCTTTTTCCCCTTGTCAAAGATTGTTCAGATAAGTCGTCGATTTTTTTCTCCCCCCCCCCTTTTTTTTCAAAAGCGATACTACTGCATGTAATAGCTGAAAAAATAATGTAACATTCCACTGTTTATTCTGTGACATTCATGAAGCCAAAGAGATGACATTTATGGCTTTCTGGAAAGCCAAACTTGTTATTTATATACACTGGTAACTACCCAGTTAGCACAACAATGTTATTAAAACGTTATAAAAACGTTATGAAAATGTTATGAAAACATTTTCTAAAACGTTATTACAACGTTATATTGTGTGGTTTTTTAAACGTTATTATAATGTTTTGCATAAACATTGTACTCTAATGTTTTAAAAACATTTTTAAAAACGTTTTGAGAACATTTTTTAAAACGTTTTTAAAACATTTAAAAAATCAATTTTACAACATAATAAACAATATATTTCTTATAATTTAATAAATTTAAATCCATTCATTAATTTTGTCTAAACCCTTTTTTTATCACTTGCACAATAAAATTACAGTCTTCCTTCAAATGAAATTTGTACTGTTTGAAATACGAAAAGATCACAGCATCCTTATTCCATTAGAAATTAATCTGTTGTACACTTGGACTTCTCTATTTTCTTCTGAAAAACAAAGAATTGGACATAAAACTTTGACTAAATGATTACCCATTCATACTCGTACATTTCTTTTTAGTTAAACATATCCATGTATTAGGGCATCTGACAACTAAGTATACATACTAGTATATACAAATCTGATAAACACAAAGAAAGTATGTTTTGGTATACAGTTGTATTAATAAACAAAAAATTACAGGTGTAAATATATCTATATAATTTTGACAACCAACTTTAAACATACCTTATCATATTTCCAGGAAGGTATGGATCAAACCTCTTCATCCCACCTCCCATTAAATCGTAAGAGGTTGTCTTTGATGCTTTGTAAGCCTTGTAAGCAGCAGCTATTAAAATGGAATGTGAAATTCATTATAAGAAATGTAAATAAGTAAATGTATAAACATATTTAACAAAGGCGTCGGAAGCAAATTAAAAGGGGGGGGGGGGTAACCAACAAAAACATTGGGGGGGGGGGGGGAGTAAGCCCGAATTTTCACTAACTCTGTTATGTCAATCTTTACAAAAAAAAAAATGTGTGTGTGTGTGGGGGGGGGGGGGGGGGGTAAGCACCCCCTAGACCCCCGGTTCCGACGCCTATGTTTAATAGTTAAATGAAAACAGCACAGCATTACTACATGTAGTATTTAGATCATTTTGCTTTTGCTGTATACATTTTCCAATGATTTATAAGTTGATATGTTAACTGAATCTTAATGCATTTTCTTAGCATTAATGGTGATAAAACTTACTCTTAATGATTCTTTAAAAGGGTGCACTTTTCAACCTTCTGTCCAGTCTCAGTGAACTGACCCATGCAATTTGTTTGTATCATTGTCCTCATATATCTCCACCCTGCATTGAAACCATTGCATTCATCTAAAATGAGTGTTATATTTTATCATGAAGAATGAGGATTTCAAAATCTTTGACTGCTATAGCTAGCAAATATATAATCAAGCCTGAGATTGATTAATTAATTCCTCTCCTTTCCCTTCCAAAAGAAAATAGGTTTAACGTGGCATTGTATTCTGTTATACATAACACAAATTCGGAAAAATCTAACAAATACAGAATGAATACTATTTAAAATTTAACATACCATACGTTGACATTTGTAAGATATTCTCCTATTCTTTTTCTTTGTCTTATACAAGAATGCCGCCGGGTTTTTCAAAACTGTGATTCTGTTGACCTATATAGATCACATGGAAATAGTTTGCAACAAGGATCGGCTGCATCAGCCCTGGCCATGGCACCTCCCGCTGTGTCACTCAATTAACTCTCGATAAACACATTATCGAAGGGGGAACTTAATTCCCATAGCACAAATAAATGACTCCACTGAATTATTTAATTCAGGAACTTTGTTGAACAAATAATTTTTTAGAATTTTTTTTTTTACTCTACTTGTTATATATAAATATTTTTTACAATGGTATAAAAGATAAACATGAACACATTTCCGTGTTGTTGTTTTTTCTTCTTTTTTTTTTAATTTTTGGGGGTCTAAATTTTATTATCACAACTCAAAATCAATCATAACTCAAACTTTGGAGCTATTTATAAGAAAACAGAAGTTTTATATATATACATGTAACGTCTTACACTAAATAATTAAAAACTTCTGATGCTTGGAGTTGGTATGTCTGTAACGTTTTTACAATGCTTTGCAAACATTTTAAGACAATGTTGTATTCATGTTGTCTGGTAACATTTGTATTTCATGAAAATTATAATAATTATTACACAAGGTATGAATTTTTTTAATCATGCTATTCAATTTATAGCTACACGATATATACTTTATCATTATAGAAATGTTAAATGCTAAATGTTTTCTGAAAACCTCCTTGCAACAGGAACAAAATGTTATGAAAAACATTTTTAAAATGATTGTTAAGAACATTTCCTAATAACGTCTTTACAACCAAAACAAAACGTTTTAAAAACATTTTATAAACGTTTTATTAAAAACGTTTTCAGATAACATCATTACAACGGGAATAAAATGTTATGAAAACGTTTTGTGCTACCTGGGTATTTCATTCTCGACTTGTACATTCCGATAATGCATTGCGGCGGATATTGGGGTCAAGCGAGGTCAGGGGTAAAGCGTCATTAGAGACTGTTTACACGTGAATATCAAAATGGGTAAAAACGACTTTTGTGTCGCCTACGGTTGCAACCATCATCGGGCCTATGGGGCAACTTGTATATTTTTTACATTTCCAGAAGACCCAGATTATTTTCAGAGGTGGACAAACGCTTGCAAACGTGAGGTGGTGTTCCAAAGTGGAAAGAGAATGAAATGGACGCCGTCTGAATATCAAAAACTTTGTAGCTGTCATTTTGAGACTGGCCAATGTCCAGATCCCAAATCTAGAAAACCGGGAAACAAGAACAAGATTCCTACAATATTTTCACACAAGGCAAGAACGTGTAATGTACATGTATATATTTACGTATAGAACCAAGATGTTAAATGTATGTGTATTGTTTTATATATCCCCGAGGAACCTATTTCGGTAGTAATAAGTATTCAATTTACAAAATTTCCCAAACGAGTACAATTGAATAGGGAATTAATGCAGTTTTGCTATAAAGGTTCCTATAATTTATCCAAAATTTTAATAAAATACTAACGAATAGATATTTTTTCTCCAAATGTATGACATTCTGTTTTGGGCATGTTCAAACAGATGAGGTACCTAAATCAGTGGCATGATGCTTTTCAAAGGTATCTACCTTCACAAGTTCAGCACCAAACAAACAAATGATTTAGAATAATATTTATTATTTTCGAATAATAAAAATCACCAGCTTAAAAGGAGATGCCACCAATTTAGGTACCCAACTGATTTAGGACCCTCCACGATACATGTAAAATCAAGGAACATAAACATTATATAGAACTATGCATGATTTATAAACTTTATCTAGCACCTCTATACACTGTATACAAAATTTTAGTCACATGCATTTTAAAGGATAACCCATGAAAACTGTATCATATGTATTTTTTATAAAGCCATAGCCAATGGCATAGGTGGTGCTACAGTTCTCATATTAATTAAAAACTGAATAAATCATTAGTTTTTCTGAACTGATACACTGCATGGTTTAATGATCAGTGCAGCTCACCGTGATGCAATTATTCTTAAAACCTTTAAAATAATTAAATATTTAAATCTAAGTTTGTTTTATTTTATTAATTCTTTTTTTTTTTCTATATTAGGAAATGCCCAAGAGAAGGCCCCCAAATAGACATATTAGATCACACGATAAGCTAGTATCAGCAACTGCGTCTTCCTTTTCTGAAAGTACAGGTATAATCAGTTTTGTATATTCAGCAATAAGAGTGAGTTAAAAGATACTTATTATCACATTTTCAGATCACTTATTATTTAAGGAGCCAATGATAAAAGATACTACATATACTCCAGGGAATTAGAAATTAAATGCTTTGCATATTTTCAGTTTCAGTCAACACTGCATCAGAGACAGCTATTAATCAGCATGAATCTATCCAAGAGTCATCTACAACAGCAACTGATCAGCATGAATCTGTCCAAGAGTCATCTACAACTGTTAAAGTATATACTTTTTTCTAATCTTAAAATTTATATTTTTGAAATAACAGACTACATTTAAATAGAATATGCACAGATATGACAGAATATATTAATTTGTATCATTTTGTTTTCTACTGTAACCATAAATATTTTTGAGTTATTTTCTGGGTAGCATGTAGGATTAATAACTGACTCTATTAATTTAACAGGCACCAGAGATAAATGGCCATGATTATTTAGGAACACTTTCTGACAAGCAGAGTTTCCAGCATTTTGGTGATTTAACTTCAAATGACCCAGATTTCTGGGATTTTTTCCAGTCTGTTCAAAGAGACTCAAAAATTTACCAAGAAATGTGTTCAAAAAATCAGATCTTCAATATGGAAGTCATACAGCAAAATAAGCAGTTATTTAACTTTTACACGGGCTTGGACCTTGATGTTTTCAACTCATTATTTACATATCTACAACCAAAAGCTTCATCTATGCAGTACTTCCATGGTGAAAGAACAACATATGTCCAACCATTTAATCTGGACGGCTACGGTGTGAAGAGAAAGCCTGGTGTCACTAGACAACTCAGTCTGCGAGAGGAATTCTTCAGTGTATTGTATCGTTTACAAACAGGACACTTACTTGAAGAATGCAGTCTTCGTTTTGGTGTGAGCTCCAGTCAGTTCTCCAGAAATTTCACAACCTGGATCAACCTCTTATCTGTGGAACTGGAACTTTTATGTAAAAATGCAGAGCCAGAAGAAGATGTTGGACTTGCAAGTTGCTTCAAACCATTTTCAAACTTAAGAGTAATTCTGGACTGTACAGAACTGTTCAGTGAAACACCTTCCAGTGTGGAGTACCATAAACAGACTCGCAGCAATTATAAACATCACTTAACAATAAAATTTCTAGTTGGAATCCATCCCTCAGGGGCTGTTACATATATCTCAAAAGCTTATCCTGGAAAGTCATCAGACAAACAGATCACACAAGAAAGCCAGGACCTTCTGGGCTCTCTTATACCAGGACAAAAAGTCATGGTGGACAGGGGCTTTACGATTGAAGAGGATCTACCTTGTGGTGTTAAATTAGTAATTCCTTCTTTCAAGGGTGCAAGCAGACAACAATTTACTGCAAATGAACTATCAAAGTCGAAGGTCATCTCCAGAGCACGGGTTCATGTAGAACGATGTATGCGTAGGATAAAGTCTTTCAACATCCTAAGACAAGAACATAAACTATCGCAAGTAGATGTTTACGAGCAAATATTCAAAACCTGTGCCTACCTTGTGAATTTTCAGAATCCCTATTTGAAGTCAGATGAATAAGGGTATATATGGTGTATCTGAACTAAAAATAATACTGATATGAAATTGAGTGTAGATACACATGATATATGTAATGCATTAAAATTTCTATGATTTTAAACTCAGATACCCTCATGTTTCTATAATTAAGTTGACTTAAGATCTCTATTATTTTTGTGGAGTTAGTAAATAAATCGGTTATTGTTTTAAATTTTTTATATCTTTGAAACACAATTGATTTATACTGTGTAATTTACAGAAAAGTCCTATCCTATATATATATATGGTATTCACTCGTGCTTCGCACCTCTTGGAAATATCAAACTATCCTGTCCCACTCAGGAAATAAATTCCATATCCAACTACAAAACATTGAATATCCTCTCTGTAATTTCCAAGTTGAGTAAAACATTTTTTGTTAATTAACATCATTTTGTCACAACTTGTTTTATTAATGATAAAATAACAACTGTCATTGTCACATACAAAAAGATGGAATTGAAAAATTCTACTAAATATACACACCATCAAGTTCTAATTGTCTGGCATATTGTTTCAATTTCAATTATATATTAATTTTATGAAAATGAATGAATTACATGTACATTTTTGTTTTGTATTTATTCAAATTATCAAATACATATTATTAAAAACTTGTTTTAAATCATTGACAATGAGATTGCCTCATTCCATGAACTAATATATGCTTGAAGTTGGATTCACTATAATTAAGAAATATGAAGAAATTTGGACTTCTTCACTTATATATAAATAATAGTAGAACCATAACACCTATTTTTTGGAATTAATGAGGTTTGATGAGATTTTCATAATTCAGAACTTCAGGAACCAAGAAAATTTCAGCTTGGACCCCTTAATTATGATTGATTTTCAAGGAGCCTGTGAATTAACGTCTGACCTTTAAAATATTATGTCACAATTTCTTACACAAGTGGGACAATACCAGAGACAATCTAGATCTTCATACTCAGTTGGATCATAGTACACACATGACCAATGATACCATTTTCTACATCCACAATTACACTCACATAAAATGCTTGTATCCTTTTCCTCCCCTAAAGATCTTAAACATTGCCCACATTTGACATACAAGTCTGAGACAGCAGCTGACTCTGACTCATTCGGACAAGCATTCATTTTGATAAGGTATGGGCCTAGAAATTTCTCAAAAAAGAGAGAAATATTTTCAAATACACTATTCCAGTGCATTTGGTCAAATTCAATGACTTCATGTATATAATCAACAGGTGACCATACAATGAAGTGAGTTTTCTGGATATTAGTCACACCCATCTGTACCTGAACTTGAGTGTAATACTTATGGTTTCTGTTAAGAGTAATCTTCTCACCCACTCTTTTCAGAAAGAGAGTTTTGTCAAAGTCATGTTTGGGATTACTTGCTGCCAATGTAAATGGACATTTAATTTCTATAAGAGATTTTCCGCAACAATCACAACAAAGTACACCATCCGGAGAGGCTCCAATATAGCCAACACAATGAAGATATAATCCTGATTCTCTCACTTTTGTGTTTACATGACACTTTTTCATGTCTTCCTCAAATTTTCGCAGTGCTACTGGTTCAAATTTGTTGCCATACTCAGTAGCTTTGTTTCCTTTGAATGATTTTCCCAACAATGTTTTGAGTAGGCTGCTGACATTTGGACTTTTTCCAGCTTTTAGACTTACCATGGCAGTTTTCACATTGTGAGCATTTGAGGCTGTAATGATACCTTTTCTGTAGTCATGCCACAAAATATTTTTTGCCTGACCTTTAGTGCTTTCTTCAATGGCACGGATTTCCTCTGGCGTTCGCTTTACAAGTTCAGTTAAATTTTTCAAGCTATCTGTATTTTTACTAAAGTGTAGGGCTGTACCAGGTAGTGATGGTTGTTCCGGTAAATTATCCATTTCAGTGGCTATTTCCTCTCTTGATGGAACCATGGGATCACTGAATTCTGTCACAATGTACATATCTGGAAGAGACTGAACTGAGTGTTCTTTGTAAAAAAAACTGTCTTCTGGGGGTCTAAATTTAGAGGGTTGGTATAACTTGTTAATTGGAGCATTTGGTTTACACTCTCTTAAAGAAGAAAACAATTGTAGGTAATCTTGAACTTGTACTTTCGTGTCATTGGGATGTCGAGGATCATGCTCAAAAGCTCTTATTTTCTTCTTTCTAGGTGCCTTGTTGAATTTCTTCTTGTGAATCACAAAGTCATGAAATGGTTTTGGTTTGGATGATGATCCTGAAAAGGCAGAATAATCAAGTTAAAAACTCACATACTTTATCCAGGAGTGCTTATATACTGTAAATCTCAAATAAATGATTACTACTTATAAATGCATGCGTTTCTATTACACATATTTTAAGTTTATGATAAAATAGATATGAACTCATTGAAAAACATGAACCAGCATGCTTTTCATGTGTTGTTGAGACAAATATCTATATGTTGATAATTTTTTCACAACATACATATTTAATCAGGTCCATATTTAAAGTGTACTTACCTTTGCTTTTTCACATAAATATTCAAATCATACAGTGGATTTGATACCTTTCACAATATTGAAATTGAGCAAATTAACAGCAGCAGTATGATGTCAAAACAAATAAATCAAAGAATTGACAAAACACTGATACCATTATATTGCATGCTATCAGACCTGCTGATTGCTTCAAATGGCACAGCCATGATGTTTTCAAACAAGTTGTCTGGTTATTTCAGCACAGCTGAAAAAAACTAACTGTTGGTTAACATTTAAAATGAAAAAGAAAATAATGAATTAAAACATATCAACAAAAATTAACAATAATGGTCCAGGTAATCTATGTTATTTATTTACCCCTTGGATTAATCCAGTATGCCAATTTTTCTGTTGTTGCTGGACCATCAGGTAGTTCTTGAAACCCATGGGATATGAACTCAGATACTCCAAACAGCATTCCAGCTGTGTGACTGCAAGCTGCCGCAGCACTGAAAATGCATTCATTAATATAAGTTATGTAACAGGAAAGGAGAAAAATGTGACTTTTTTTTTTTACCTGACCAGCATTAAAATCTCGACCCCCTGAATCTCCAGTCAGGTGCTCTACCAACTGAGCTATCTGGCAACTGGATACACACACAAATATATATATATATATATATATATATATATATATATATATATATATATATATATATATATATATATATATATATATACATATATATATATAGAGAGAGAGAGAGAGAGAGGGATAAATAGACAGTTCTTTTAATATTCTTGAAATTTTAAGATATAATACAATATATCTAGATATTTAACAAGGATATCTAAAAAGGTGTTTCAATGATTTAAACCTTTTTCAATTTGTATATTATATAAGTTTATATATATATATAAATATATATATATATATATATATATATATATATATATATATATATATATATATATATATATATATATATATATATAATTAACTTTCAATTCTCTAGACCATGCATCTTACCCTCCAACACAGATACAGTATGCACCGACTGGATCTCCACTCATTTTGTCTAGCACAACACTTGTTTCATAAACCTTACCAGTTGTCCACGAGGCATTAGACTTGCACCTTAACAAACACACACTGCTTTGTTCTTTCAAAGAATTGTACTCAAAGGAATGGATATTTCCGGAGGCCCACAAGTCATAGCTTCTGGAAGTTTTATATCTCAACATCAAGGTGTCTGTGAACTTTTCATGAAGGCATGCATCCTCTGTTTGTTCAATGTCACCCTGTTCACTGAGTATTAAATACTTTTTAACGTTTTCTATTGTAACAGAGGGTATTTGTCTAATATCTTTAGTCCATCCAGACTTGGCATTATTTATTATGCTAACAATATCAGAACTTGCATCATTTCCTTGTATGGGAATTTTTAAAATACTGCATAATTTTAATCTTTTTGATTCAACTGAGAGGGATTTAATATTAACACCATTCTCCCTTAAAATCCTATTGAGTTCTTTAATTTTTAGTTCCTTCACATCATTGTATATTTTCAATGATTCCAATTTTACTGTTGTTACAGTACATGTATTTGTTGATGACATATTGATGAAATCTATCACAGCAAGTTAAGTTGATTGCAGAAATCTGGAAAAAATATATTTACACACGGAATTAAAATTTTTGAAAGATGTAGTCTCATAACTGAAATGGTGCATGGAAAAAAATTTCCTAACTCTCAGAAGCAAGTGCGATGATGCCCAGAAGGCCTTGCACAGTATATGAAGAAGAAGTAGTTATGAAAATTTGTTTGCAGTTGCATCTTTCAACAAAATTATGATTAATGCTTATATATTTACCTTTTTTAAAACTCTCTGCCTTGTCTACAAATGTGATTTATATTTCAAAATCCCTTTATTATCCTTTGGGTAAGTTACCAAGAAAGGAAGAGCCAGTGCAACAGCTACTTCCTACTTCGGTTGAACTGTTCAATGTGAGTGTAAGTTTTGATTTTTACTTTTGACATTACACTTGCATGGCTTCAATATTAATAAGAAGCATTACAATCTTTTGACTTCGCTGTCCATGCTATGGTGTATTGCATGCCGAAACTTTCCAAATACTTAAGAAGCAAAATACTTGTGGAATGTGTAAAAATACATGTTTAAACATCATGCATGTTACTTTACATAACATTGAGGAGTCGAACAAATATAGAATAAATGAAATAATCACCAGACTTAAAACAATGTGTATTTCTAAATTTGTGTGAGGGGTGGGGACACTAGAGCAGTGCTTAGGCCTATGTTTCATAATTATGTTTAATCATTTTAGTTACACCCCTCCCCACCTCTATTCGGTGTTCCAAATTTTTATACGTGTACAGTATCAGAACATATGGTATAGTATCATAAATCTTCACAGTATATAACTAATACATGTCCCTATCAAAAGAACTTGTAAATAACATTCATCTCCTTGCAGAATATTCATCCTGAATTGAAATTTC